GTAAAGGTATGGATTCTACATCGAATCCATATCATTTGTTATATCGTAACAATAAGGATTCTACATCGAATCCATACATTTACGATAATGTTTCGATATCGAATCGTTATCGTCACGATATTATTGATTCGATATCGCATCGACCTCGATTCGATATCATTAACCATATCGTAACCATATTGTAACCATATCGTATCGACATTGAATCGATAATATCTTAACGATATTATTGCGATATTGAATTGATATCGTTAGAATTTTAAGGGTTTCTGTAAAGTAATATAATGCTACAGTCTGAAATACTTGTTCATAAAGTATTATGATGCTTAGTATTTTTAACATTTGATTTCATTGTTAACGTTCACAAATTTAATGATCGAAAAATATGACAAATCTGTTTTGTACTATCAAATTATCATTATTATACATAATCAAGATTAATTATGTAACTATTTAGGCAGGTTTAGGAAGTACAGTGTTAGTACAATGATTAGTACAGTTAGTACAGTTAGTACATTATAATAATTTAATATAAAAATTAGTACAAGTACAGTACAAGTACAGTGGTAATTTTATCTAGTACATACAAAATTCCTAATACTGTATTTAGGCATTACAACGCAATTACAAATTTTTTTTTAAAAAAAATTTATTATAAAATAAAAAAAAATAATATATATAAAAAAAATATAATAAAAAAATTAAAATAAAAAATATTAAAAAAATTAAAAAAATAAAAAATAAAAAATAAAAAATAAAAAATTAAAAATTAATGCCGCCTTAGCAAAAAACTTCTCATTCTTCGTGAAAAATATGACCTCCTTCTGTATCTTCAGAAATGGAATCTACAATCCCTAGAATGATAGCAGGAACAAGATCTATGATCTCATGAACGATAGCAAGAATAGGATTTATGATCTTGAGAATAATCATGAGAATGGAATTTATGATTCCAGCGAGAACGAGTTTTATAATAGTATTGGTACTGATGGCGATTTACATTCTGTCTTCTATACTAATGATGATTTACGTCTAAAAATAATAAATAAATTAAAAAATTGAAGTTTTAAAAAGTAAAAAATATATTTCTTATTATTATTATTCAATAAATAATTAGGCTTCTAAAAGAATTGGGGGACCTTAATACTTCAAAGGAAATAATCTCCACAACATTAGATAGAGAAACAATCTGTGCATCTAATAAAATCTAAAAGCAACGTAATGATCAATGTGAAGATGAAGGGATCAATTTTTCAGACCACTTTTCATTAAAATCAGTTAAGGAGAGGCTAGATTTGTACAATATGTCTAATATATCCAATAAACAGACCCTAGCTGATGTGATGATCATGTTATGCATTTGTCCTTTTGAAATTAAAAACTTGCGCATATATAATGGAGGTAAACACCAAAAAAAAGTATGATGAAAAAAGGTTAAATGGTTTGTAGTTTGAAGTGAGCTGAGCTGAAGGAGTTCAAAGAATTAGGCACTTTGCATAATATCTTATCACATTGTTAAGAGCGTTGAATAGAAATTTATTTTTTGATTAAAAAATTTTCTAATTATATAAATACATACAACTAATTTACTTGATCATCTTCCAGCACAGGATCTAAAAAAATGTCGCAGTATAAATGATATATGGAAAAGTGAGGCAAATCTTGAATAGTCTAAAAGAAAACTCTTTTCGATTTTCAGACTGGATCATTAGTTCAAGACAATTATACAGTAAAGGAATTTTCAGAGGATTATCATATGAGAATACATTTAAAGTTCTTATAGATAATTTACAGGTATTTGCGTTAGATAAGATAGTGAAAATGCTTAGTTCAGAGCAGTGATCCATGCGAAGTACCTTAATCTTGCTCGAAAGATTTTTTTGTTTAAAGATACAATTTATAATATATACTATTTATGACACAGTCAAGCATTTTTATTATACCAGAAATATTAGAACAGGTTTTATATTTTCTAGCAGTAAATAATTCCCTCTACTCACTCTATTTGTATTCTGATTGTGGTACAGATGCAGTGCCCCTATTTTATAAAAACACATTGAGCTAAAGGGAAAAGACTTATATCCTGGGCAATCTTTTCCAAATGATTATAATTACTGTGTAAAGGATCACCCTCGATTTAATAAATTCATAAGGATAGAACGTACAAAGAATCTCTCACGATTGAAAAAATTCATAAAGCTAGTACGTAAGAAGCAAATGCCAGTTTATTGCTCAAATGTAACTCATCTTGAAATATTATACTATCATTCATTTTCAGATAAAAAAATCATAAGCATTGTACATTCATGCCCAAATATAACCCATTTGAGTTTCAAAATAGCATAGGATTTAGTAATAGAGCATTAGAACTGATAGTGAGTTCATATCCGAATCTGAAGTATCTCAATCTGTGTAGTGATCAGGCAGCTAGTTTTAGGAGCTTATATGTTCAAGAAATGGATGATGGAGATCTATGGAGAATTGCACAGTCATGCCATAAATTAGAATATTTAAATATTGCCTTTCGTACAGAGATTAATGAATTTGTGGTATTATTTGTTTCTTTCCAAAGCTTTAGCATCTTAATATTACCTTTTATGAAATTACTAATATAACAATCAAAGAAATTGCTAGTTAGTGTCTTAATTTAAAATATCTTGATCTGAAAGAATGTGAAAATATTAGCAAAGAGGCTGTAGATTAGCTCGTTTTACTTAATTCAAATATTCATATTAAGAATTTCTGAGATCCAATTGATATTTGAGCTGAGATAAAGTGAGTAGTAGAGCTATTATCAAGACCGCCTTCAGTTGCTAATATTAGAACTCAATTTCACCAGTCATTCCAACAACCTAATTCCAATATCACAAGTCGAACGCTGATAAATCGGATACCTTCCTGATTAGTCACTATTTTTTGATTAGCAATCAATAGATAGAAATCAGTAGATACTACAATCAGATATAAATCGGTTAATAACATAATTATAATTATTAGGTAGAATTACATAAATTGGATTCCAACCCAATTTTATACTTATTTTAAAAAATTTATAACTATATGTTTAAAGATGGTACAGCAATTGATTTCAAATTTACAAAATGTTGCAACATAAGCTAAAATTAGTTGCAACATATATAGGTTAAAACTAATTGCAACGTAAGTTGAAACATTAAAAGTTGCAACATATTAATTACAGTTCCCATCTTTAGTTGAGTTAGCATTAATAGATACGTCATTAGCGATAGTAGCGCTCATTTGTGATAAGGTTTGATGTCCCCTTCTAGCTCTTGTTGCACCTCTTGAAATACACGTTGCTGAACGATTATTATTGTGATTTGCCCAAGAAACATTTGCAGAACAGTTGGTTGGTTGTCTTTTATTGAATGAATGTATAAGGGAAATATCTTCTAAACCTAATATATATTTTCTAGAAGTAGTTTCTTGGCCGCTGATAGGTTCAATGATCAGTTATTCATAACAGATTATTCCTACTAGAAGGGCTGTAGTGGATCTCATGCTCTGGTTGTTAATGGAGTTGGTCTTGTTTGTGAGGTAACTATTCGTAGCACTGTGAGTAACTTCCACATGAAAATTTCGCAGTTCACAGTCTCCTAATTGTTCCTCTATGTAAAAATCCAATGTCGATCTTCCGTCTAAATTCCTAACAGATTGTGTTGTAATATCTAAAGCCACCACATTTATTCCAGTTAGAGGCATATCCTCAAAATCCCAGTATAATGTCTTTATAGAAGTTGCATTCACCTAGAATTTTAAAAAAAATTCTTTAGAATTAATAATAAAAAAAAGATCATTAACAATGTTAAAAGAATTCGTATAATATTACCAAGTACCAATTAGGGCAGCCAACGAATTTGCCTCTCATGTGAATGGTATCTCCTAGGGTTCCTCAAAATCGAATCGAATCAAATATTTAAGCAATTTGAATTTGATTTGATTTTTTCAAATCGAATTGAA